TCGCCACTTAATCATGCACATACTGGAAACGGGCCCGGGGGAGACAAGGGGGAGGTCTGACAAGCCCCGCCTGTCCTCGCTGAGCCCACGGGAGCCATCCCCAGCCGCTCATCACCGAAGGCTGTTGCTCCGAGTCTGGGTCCCCCAGACTGGAACCGGAGGCTGGGGAGGCCAGTACCTGTCCGGGGTTGCAGCGTGGCTTCCGCACGCGGCAGGGCTTCCCCGGGGTGGCCCTCTGGGCTCCGCACCCCGCATGAAGCCCGCGCTGACGGCCACCCACGCCGGTGCGGCACAGGCCCAGGCCATACAGCCCTTGCACACAGGCACGGGGACGCCCACGGCTTCCTGCCCCAGAGGCTTGTTGGGGACGCAATGTCGCCCAGGCCGGGTGCTCACAGCATAGCGAAGCCCGAGGTCCGGTCACCTAAGGGTCCAGGGACACGGCCGGCTCTCCCGGGACGACCGCGCCCCACCTCGCCCCGGCACTGCGGAGGGAGGAGACAAAGCTACGGGTGGGCTGAGGAGGGGCTGAGCTCCCACTTCCCTTTACGACATAAGCACACATACCTGTGGGACCGGGGACAGGGGTGTGGCAGCCACTCAAGACACTTTCCCAGGTCACGGACTGACGCTTGGTGAAACCTCAGCTCCTGCGGTCGGGGGCAAGATTCGAACTCCCCAAAGGTGGGCGAACACCGGGCCACGAGGGACCGGCAGAGTGCCAAGCGATGCCCGCCCTCCCGAGTCCCCGCAGAGCCCAGAGAGGACGGCAGGGCCGGGGCCAGCTTGCCCAGCTCCAACCCCAGCCTGGCCTCGAGCGGCCGACGGGACCCACGTCTTCAGCCCGGCAGGACGGAGGCCCGGCGGCCTCTCCAGGACTCCAGGGCTCCCCACGCCGAGTCTCGGAGCCCCGGTCCCCCAGCGCCACGCTTTCCCCGCAGCACCCGGCCTTCTCCCGCCTTTCCTTCCGACTCGACTACAAATCATGCCTTTCAAAACATGCAAGTGTGTGTTTGAGGACAAAAGACCTGTCCGTGTGCAGGGTGGGGCCTCGCAGGCCCACCGCGGCGTCTCAGCGGGGGCCGATCTACGCTCACGCCGCCGCAAACCCGTGTCAGTGGCTGCACCGCCTGGGCCTGCTGCAAATGCAGCCCAGCCCTGCAGCGGGCGACGCGCATCCATCCAGGGAGCCATGGTTGCGGGTTCCCTGGCTTCTTTCCGGGAGCTCCCACCAGATCATCCCCCAGATTCAAGGGAACCCTCACTTCTACCTGAAACTCGGGGTGCCCTCGCCCACCTGCTGTAAGGACCTCATGACTCACAGCAAAGTCCAGGTTTTAAACGAAGAGTGATGTGTTCTTGGATGATGCATTAACATGGGAGAAAACTGTTTTTAGCTCTAATCACATGGCACTTTCCAACTATGATTCAGATTTAAAACTGCCATTAAGTCAGATTAGCGACACTAACCACACACGTCAGCTGCTGTTTTCCACCATTTCCTTCTCAGGTTCCATTCCCCCCCAGATCAGCCCCTTCTCTTGCCTTCCTCCTTCCTTGCTGAGGTCCCCGCTGAGGCCTTTGTCTTCTGGTATTTGCAAATGGGGAGAAAAGAGTGATAAAATATAGGGTGCCTTTTAAAGTAACTACAGCTTTTTGTGAGGCAGTAGGTGGCTTTTGGAGCCAAGAGGTTCCCTGGCAGCCATGACTCCCTGCACAGGCCACCCTGCTTGTGGCGGGCACCCATTTGTGTCAGCGTCACTGGAGTTAAAACATGCGTCATGCAGAGTGAAATGCATCGGGGATGGACCCGCAAGCCTCGGGCCTGGGCGGCTCACTTCTGGCTCTGGGGAGCGTGCAGCCGGGACCTCACGAAGCCGTTCCTAAGGGACCGGCACAGGCTGGGAACTCGGGTGATGGCCGCGCCCTGACCCAGCGTCCCTCCAGGGGCTGTCAGACCTGCACGCCAGCCGGCTGGGCCGTGAGGATGCCCAAGAAGGGAGCCGCCATGTCCCCGTCTGCTTAACCCACATCAAGCCACTGGCCCACAGGCTCCCCCGCCAGGGTGACTGAGGCTCGGTGGAGCGAGCCTCGAACCTCCCATCAAACTCGGGACAAAAGGGGGTGGCAGCCACTGAGCAGAAGCAGCACCTGGTGCTTTCTGCAGGTAGGAAGCGAGGGGCTGCAGGTGAGGCGTGTTCTAGAGCCTTAACTGCTTACGGCCCGAACACAGAAGCTGACACTAGGACCGGGCTGGGAGGGAAGCCCGCCCGCCACGCGCAGGGGCCTGGGAACATCTGGGTTCACGTCTCCATGGATGTCTCCTTTAACAATGTTTCCTGGAAGCAGAGCTGCTTTACTTAAAAATATTTTTTTTCAAAAAGAGACCACGGATTCCGAGCAAGTTGCAGCACGTGGAAAATGCTTATGAAACATTAAATGAGAAACGGACACACAGCAGCGTGTGGACTGATCACAGCTATCCCAACGACCCGCACAGAACACGCGGGGCTTGCAGGGCGATTGGTGGAAGCACGGCATCGTGGCCCACTGATGCTCCCCACTTCGGTCTTTTATTACAATGTTAGCATGCAAATCTCTTCTGAGCAACTGTAAACATTACTTGTAATGTTCACAAAAACTTAAAAGGAGACTATAACTCCCACCCAAAACAAAACCGAACATACTCTGACACTGGTCAGTCCCGAGTCATGCAAGGCGGGGAATGTGGATGAGATAAGACCTTCTCATGGGCCCAATGAGACACCCGTGTCAAAGCCACGGGCCGCACCAGAGGGGAAAACCCGAGGGGCTGGGGGACAGCCCCTTCCTTGGAGAAACCACCCCCAGTCCTCATAGGGAGGGTTGGAGCGCTGTCTTGTGCTACCGAGGAAGATGTGTGTGGACGAATCTGAGTGGCAAGAAAACGAGAGCTACAGAATCAGAGTGGAAACTGCGAGATTTTATTAACACACCTTTGAAATTACATACAGTAAAGTTCAAACACATTTTCTGGTACGAAGGCACACAAATGATACACACAACAATACATTTGCTTTTCAACTACGTCACTACTATTCTTCACATATATTCCTGAAAAAGCTACCGCAGTCATGGACGCAAAGTGAACAATGGGGTAAAACAAGGCAACGTCATTTCCACACACGTAAACGTCGGGCGTTTGTTTGGCAGAAAACGGGAAGCGGATCAAACCCAGGGGAACGCAATCCAGTCATCTCCATTTCTGCACTTTCAACGCACCCCCAGTCAACACAGCGCTACGCCCCACACCAGAGCTGCGCCCCATGCGGCACGGAGCGCGTGCGCATCACGGTTAGGGCGGCCGCGGGCGGCGGGAGCGGTAACAAGGTCAGACGGCCATCACTTCCGAGCGGAATGAGCGGCGCGCTACTACTAACACTGAACCCATGCACAAGAGGTCCTGCAAAGTAGAGGGTGAGAAACAGAAGGGGTGGTTAATGGCGCGGCCGACCGCACGCCGCGGCACGCTGGCACCTTTGGATCGCCAACTCCTACAGAGCCAAACTGCAAAGTAACAGAATCAAAGCGTTATTCTCCCCATCAGACCTGGAGGAATGAATTGTGAGTCAAGACCTGTCAAAGCAAAGGTTGAGAGGTGATCGAGCCGTGAACACAGCCCGAAAGCACTGACAACACCCCGCCTGCCCTGGACGCCGGGCGGGGGTGGGGGCAGCCCCCCGGCAGCTGGGCGCAGCGGCAGGGCGGGAGGCCAGTGCGGGAAAAACCAGGGAGCCAGGAAAGCGAGAGGCAGCGGAGGATCTCAGCGGGGAAGGAGCGGTCAGCGTCCGGAGGGCGGGTGGGTTTGAGCCAGGGAAGAAGAACAGAAGAGCAAGGAGAGGGGAGCCCAGAGCGTGGCGTGGCCACGTGGCCCCGTTTCGGAAGGAACAGTCTCGAGAAGAGAGCAGAGACGTCCCACAGACAGAACCAGCTCAAAAAACGAAAAAAATAGATTTTGTGCTTTGCTGTAGTTATACCTGAAAATTAAATAGCAGAATTAAAGCCTAAGAAGTTAAAATCCTCACAGAGGAAACCTTTCTGGATCCCACACCTGTGAAAAGCAAAGCTGGATTATAAAAATGAGTGATTACTTGCTCCTGGGTTGATCGCAAATCATGTGTTGTGCGTGCATGTTACTTTAAAATTGTACATATTCTAAGAAAATACTGTAAAATGCATAAGGTCTAAAGTCCTTTAAAAATCAGCTTCCACTACATGCGCCCTTAAAATGAAGAGTAGTTTAAAAGGAAATCATGCTAATAGAACGTCATGAGTCTATTTTCTAGAGTTTGTTAAATTATTAAATACAGAATACATTAAAAACAGTACCTGTCTGCTTGTCCACTCCGTGGAACATAATAAAATAAAAAACTGCATGACATTTCTTTTTAAAGGCCCTGCATTTTTCTACATACCTTTTAAAATTAGTAAACTAAAGACAAGCAAAACACCAAGCATGAAGACCTCTGTATATTTTAGTTGGTTAGAAGTAAAAGGAAAAAGTACTCGAGAAATGTCTCAACTAAAAATACCTGTTCCATCCACCCGTCAAAACTTAAAGGTTCCCTACCAAAACATGACATAGAGAAGAGAGAGCTGAGATATCTAAAACATCCTCTAAAAGAGTCAGGTGACAGCGTGTGGGACAAAGAGCCCTTCCAGCCACACGCCGCCACAAGTACACCTGGGATCCAATATGAATCAATGGGTTCTGCTCTGGTTCCGGGACACAAAACCATGGGCTTATGCACCTAAGAAGTTAGGCATTCTGAATGATAAAAATTGAACAGGTTGCAAAAAAACCTTACAGAAAATCCTTAGGATTTAATATTAAGTCAAGGCTAAATGCCTTTGGAGAGTTCATATTTAAAAAGCCCCCCAATTAACACTTTATTCACAAATTTTAAAGATAGTTGAAAAGGTCAGTAGGAATGTTTGTTAAATACAGTAAAGGATCTAAACTTTACTCTTTAACTCATCTAAACTTATCGTGGCTTCCTTCACTGGGGGGGGGACCTCTCAGTCCCTTCCTATCCTGCGACACCCCAACAGTTAACCATCTTAGAACACATCACTCACAGTGCTTTAAAAGCCCGACAATCCCTTGCAAGTTTTCTCTCTCTCCCACCCTTTTCCCTTCTACTCTAAACAAACAAACAAAAAAACAAAACAAAACAAAAATAAGGAGGGGGCTATATATAGCTTAATTCGGGGAAGGCAGAGGGCCTACTGGGGAGCGTGGAAGCCAGAGCTGAGTCCCCAGAGGAGAAGGCAGGAAGAACAACAGAAAAGCGGAGCTCCGAGTCACCCCCAGGGACCCTGGCCCTGCAGACCCTGTGCTGGGACCTGGTTCTTGACTCCTGGGCAGTACCTCCCTCCCCCGCCCCAGGAAGAGGGCAGGGGAGGAAAAGCCACGAGAAGTGGAGCTTTCAGGACTCCACAAGGTCCTAGAGCAACACTGCGGCCATGACACACACAGACCCCCTTGTTCTGTGCAAGTATGTGACTAAAACCTGTCTTCAACAAGTCAGCCCATGGACTATGAGCCTGTTGAGCTTACCTTCCCAATAAAATGACAATGAAATAAAAAGCAAAATAAACAGAACAAAATTAAAAACCAAAAGCCAAAAGAAAACAAAAAATGGATGGTTCTTAAAACACATCCTGGGAGGAAGGCTCTGGGTCCTCAGGTTTGTCTGTCTACTCCACTGCACCGCGCCCGGGGCCCGTAAGAGGAGCCAAGCAGGTGCCCGGAGGGTGGCCCCCGCCCGCTCCCGTGGGGCTCATCCTGCGGGCGCTCCCCGCTGCCACCGAGCGCCTGGCCTGCGCGCTCTTAGCGTGACTGATGACCTCCCGACGGCCAGTGTGTTAGGAGCCTGCTGTTAACGCTGAGGTGACGCTTCCCCAGCCTACAGGACCCTCCTCTCCCAGGCCTGTCCGTCCCTCCCTCCCCTTCACACTAAGCTCCTCTCCCACCTCCTTCAGTAACAAACCCTTCTGTTTTCAGAACTAAGCAAAATGCTATTTCATAAAAAAACAAAAAAACAAAACAAAACAAAAAAACACCTGGGTGCAGGATCTAAGCTCTGTCACAATCCAGAAATGCCACAGAACCGAGCTTAAACACTGCTTGCCCGGGACCTTTACAAATCATGTTAGGAACTACCCATATTGAAAACAGTTATGAAGAAACCACTTCCCACTCCCAACCCATCAACTCTCCTCCAGCAAGGCGGGGTGCAGGCACCTATATAGGATGCAGCCTGCACCGAGAGGGGGGAACCCCTCAAACTTTCTCTTGTAAAGAAGAGATGAGAGTCATCCTTTAGAAGAGTGTCAGCATAAGGATTCAACAATGGGCCAGACCGAGGGCAATGCAATGCTATGTTCAGATACGTGGCTAAGTGAACTTATATTACATCACAAAATCAAAACAAGGTAACGCAAAAAGAAAAAGTAACTTGGCTCTACATAATTATCTACTGATTTACCTTATGAGATATATTGGCATTTACTGCTGTTAGGCTTCTTGATTTTGTGAACAAATAATACACAGATCAGGATAAATGTATTGACTTACTACCATCTTTATAAAAATCGAATATACACACAAACACATCAACAATTATGGAACTGTATCCATTAAACTTTGATACGACAACACAAAAGAACTAACAAATAGCTAAGATGTTGCTGAGTTGAAAGCATTCCCGATAACATTTTAATTTTAAAAGGTCCATATTTACATAGTATGCTAAATGCTTCTGCATCTCATTTTAAATGCATGATAAATAAAGAACAAAGATAATGGTTGCAGCAGATCTTCCACGAGGGTTCGGCTTACGCGGTCTGACTTCACTGTGAGAAGTGAGAAGCGCAACAAAAATGGAAATAATTACTTTCTAATTCTGCTTCTTTCCTTTTCTGCAGTTTCCTTAAAGGAAACTGACTCTGTATTACTGGGATGGTCTGGTGCTAAGAGTCCATCTCCTACGATCGTTTGCAGTGAGAGCGGCAGGGCTGTGCGTGGCTGCTCTAACTGGTGCTTCTGGACAGGCCGGGAGATGTTGCTGATGGCCTTCCGGAGCATGCTACCAAGAGAAAGCCTGTGTGTGTGTACAGTTACAGACACACCTTCCCGGTCCCCGTGACACTCAGCACCAAACGCAGACCTCACGGCAGCCATGAAGCCTGCTGTGAACGGTGGCGCCAATCCGGGTCAGCTTCGCTAACAGTGGCTCAAGCGTGCCTCCACGCCTACTTCTCGGAGACCACATGCAGATTTTTGGTTTCTAAACCACAGCACACTCAGACTATTTCAGAAAGTGGTAAAACTCTGTTAAACTCATCGTATCGCATCAGGAAGTTTTCAATGATAAAGTCAGTTGGTAAGCCTTCCCACTCCCCTTGGGCACTAAGTGTCTTGGAGTTCTCTTTAAAATTAGAGCCCGTGAGCTACCAAACTCATCAATTCAACGCAACTCTCTGTGGACTGAGATAAATAAACTACGCCTTTTAAATACATAAACACATCCGTATCTAACCGTGAACACAGTGGGCACTGAAGGCTGAGGAACCCTGTGACGGGCACAGGGACCTGTCGCTTGGGTGCCCTCCTGCCAGCACCGTGAGGCAGGGCTGGCTTACGAGCCCGTCTCCCGAAAGCCGGTCGGGCTCTGTGGCCCCGAGGTGGCCGGCAGCACAGCGCGGGTGTCTAGCACAGCCCACAAGTGCCCGTGGCTGCCGGGGCCAGCTGCTTCCGAAGAGCAGCCGCCAACCACCACCTGCAGCTTCCAGCGTTTCTCCTGAGCACACGATGCCATTTTAGAGTCAATGCTACCGAAAGTCTCACAGGGTCTGGAATATTCTTCTCCAGTTCTTAATATTGTTTTGGTAACTTAATTTCAAAAACTATATAAAATTTCAACTGTGGACACAAGAAGAGACAAGCCTCGTGCCCAATCCTCAGCCCCTGCTTCTGGAGGCTGACTGCCCAAGGGCCACATTGCTCCAGAGGCAGTGAGTGACAAGAGGCTTCTAGATCCCCTAATTCTATTAATAAATGTGACATGAAATTGTAGGTATAAAACACAGCTAAAAAGCCTGAGTATGCCCTAGTACTATTTGCTCAAATAGTTCAGGCCCACTTCAGAATACCCTAAGTAGTGAAACGCTTCATGAGCAGAAGACAATAAGGCACTTTTTTCAGTGTTTGCCCAGAACAAATTCTACTAAGGTTTCTTATGCAGAGTGAGTCTCACCTAAGGGAACCTACCCAGAATTACGAAAAGCGGCTTCCACGATGACACAGACGCCTCTCAGCTTGGGCGGCGCTGTCCCTGGAAGACAGCCGCCTCAAGCCACACGCCACGGAAGGGCGCCACAGCCGCGCCTCTCTCAGGCCCAGTAAAGGACAGTGCAGCCCCTGCTCAAGTGGCCTTCGGAAAAAAAGGGCAATCAAAGCAATGATAACCAGGTTCTCGAAGAATGTCACATGTCACAGGGCCAGTGAGACCCACACGCCACCCTGGGCTGCATTTAATGAGAGAAAAGCCTGGACAGGTCTGTTCTACTTTCAGGCCGTCCCTCCACCTCGAGGGCACGGCAGCCCTGCTCTGCGCCTCGCCGGGGCCTGCCGGCCTTTCGCCTCACTGGAGAAGAGTGTGAAAAGGTGGGCAGTTCACCCAGGGACTAGGAGCATACAGTTGGCGCTTTAGAAATATTGACAAGAAGCAGAATCTCCGTTCAATTGGCACCACTCCCAACCACCCCACTCATACCCTGGCTTTCCAGGATATGCAAATGTCGATCAATAATCACCCAAATTTTAATCTAGGTTTTTACAAGAGCCTTTTGAGGGCTTTCTGAGGAGACCACTCAAGCTAAGCTTGGTTGAGAAGACTCTTTTCTAGCCTGCACTGAAGATAAGTGCAACCATTATCAAATATTCTTTCTCTGCTGTGAAAAATACTTGGAATTTGTGACATTAATGCTCTCTCCTGAATCTAAGTCACTGTGATCGATCATACAGTCAGATCACGAAGAACAATGTCTACATGCATTGTAAGCACTTTGAAAACAAAAGAAAACGAAAAACTTGGAGTTCTTTGCGGTGACAACAGAACCTGAAGCAATCAACCTAACACCAAACTCCAGCTTGCTGTGTGAGTTCAGCTCTTCCGACTCAACCCTGTGGCTGGCTGGCGCTCTAGACAACAGCCCGGAGGATCTAGGCTCCTGGGGGTGTGCGCCGGCGGGCGGCTTTCTTGAAGAAATTCCACAGTGTGTGTACAGCACAAGGTCCGGTCTCCTGCTAGAAGTCACTCCACGATCAGGGCCACGTTTATGTGGGACAAATCTATCATATGCCTGTGAAAATTTAAGGAGACAATCAACGGCAACTCTGCACATCAGCAATCGATTTACCGAGGGGGAAGAAAACTAGAGCTACAAGGGGGGGGCCCGACCAACGAAGGCCCGCCCCGCCAGCAGGCAGCTTCACAGGTGAGAACTGCTCAAAACGAGGCCGAGTCTCCACCTGGCAAAAGCAGCTCTGCCGGGCAGGAGGCTCGCTGTTTGCCGGGTCCTGCTGCACGTCTGCAGCAACAGGGACAGCACAGGACACGGCCCCTCCCGCTCCCACGCCACCGCGAGGACAGAGCCACCAGCTACCTGTGGAATTTCTGCTGAAACGCCAACGCGTGGGCTGGTTCCTTGAACTTAGCTATGGCTTTCCGCTGCTGGGGAAGCATCTGTAAACTCTAGAGGAAGAAAACGGAGAAACGTTTTAATATCGCATTGTAAATGGTAAAAATAGAAAATATGTATATTCATACACTGTTAGCTTTAATATAAAACGTGAGTCCAGGCTGACACTTAGATAGCTAAACATCACTTTCCTTTCTATCTCCCTGGCAGCTTTTCTTCCCTATCCGGAAAATCTCCCCAAAGCAGTGCTTCATAAATCATCCCCACGACAGCACTGACACGCCCCGCCTGGTGTTAAGGCCTTCCGTCACCTCGCCGCCGTGGCTGCCCGCCTTCTGCGGGAGCCGCTGGCAGGCGCCCTTGCCCAGAGGCCCCTCTTCTTCCCACGTCTCCCTACGAGGCGACTCTCAACGGCCCCTCACTGATCTCTTGGAAGACCAATCCCCGTCACATCATAGGCTACCGCTGCTGGTGAGGGGACCCCCAGGTCTGCTGCAGGCATCCACCGAGCTTTCCGTCTCCGGACATCCAGCTGGGCCACAGTGGGGTGGCTGTGCCTGTGGCTGCCATCAGCATGACGCGGTCACACTCGGTACTTAAAAAGTTTGAGATGACCAAGTGGTATCTTAAATAAAATCTTTAGGAGTGCCAAGGGAGCCATCACCCTCTCGCATAAAACTACTATTCCAGAGGCCACTCTCTGTGGCAAAAAGCAAACAAGTTCATGAAGATCAACTGAAAGAAATGACGGACCCAGCAGAGACTGACAGAGACACATCTGAAAAAGGCAACTCAGACTCACTGTGAGAAAGAGAATACTGCTGTCTTCCTCAGGCCTCCGGGTCGGGACTTAGGGGTGCGGGAGGGGAGGAGGACAGCCTGGCCATCTACCAGGCGCTTCTCTGTGATGCTCGGTCAGCCCCAGCCTCAGAGTGTGGTCCTCCTCAGTCATCTCACGGCCACCAGCCTAACACTCGTGTGTCTGGGGCACAGAGCAGGTGTCACCAGGCAGCTCTGGTGTGGGCAGCTGCTGACACTGTCCTGAGGAACTGCCCTCGACAAAGCATTTCCAGTGGCCAGGAACTATCTGCTGTGTCTGGGTTTCTGTCAGTGACATACAATCTCCAGGGAATAACTAAGAGTAACACATAGTCCTTTAAAAGTACTTACACCATGCAGAGCAGTTTTCAAAAATCTACACTGGAAGCACACAGCTAAAAATATCAATGACTTAGAAAATGCTGAAAAAAGTTATACAGCAAATGAAATAACTGCTCTCTATTTTAATAACCACAGCACTTGTACCAGCAAACAAGACCAGCAGAGCTCTAAAAACACACTCACTTCCTAAGAAGTGGCCTTTCAGTGCTCCCGTAACAGTGTGCACGCACCACCAAGAGTGCCCCGTCTCCGCATGACAACGTGCCACCAAGGCCCGGGCGAGGCCACGCCCAGGGGCAGCCCCTGGCCCGGGGACCATGCTGCCCGGCACGCAGGCCCTCGGGTGCCGCAACAGCGGCACACTGGGACTGTTTCCTCTGGAACAGGTTTAGTGAAATGCCAGACTTTCTCCCTTCTTTCTGACACAGAAACACGGATGCAAAAGCACTGTCCCGGTCACTCCACTCATCATTAAGCTAACAGGGAAAGTAAAGCCCCCAAACTTGGCCTCCTAGGTACATTCTTGGCAACACGGCTTCTCTGGCCTCTGAAATTCTGCCGTGTTCCTGCACGGAGACTGTGTCCCTCCCAACCCACCGGGCCCCTCTTCAGCATGCGCCCATTCTGCACATCACCCTGCAGATGATTTTCAGTTGCTGAAACTACGTAGAAGCTTCCAGAGAGAAAATGCCGCTCTCTTCTGTGACCAGGTGAGGGCAGGACGACACAGGAAGGTGCCCTCCATCGGCCACACAGCGGCGGAGACTCCTCGCCTGCACAGCCCGGCCCCGCGTGTTCCTGTCTTTCTCGTGTCCAGGCCTCAAGGACTTGGAGGGGTTTCAGCAACACCCGGAAGTGACCGCAACTTCACGTTAACTGTCCCCCACACTACAGCAGATCTGACTGCAACAACTGGAAGAATTTATCTCACCTAAACTTATCTTGTTAGTGATGTAAAAATTGCTCAGTTAGGAATGGACAAGAAAAACTAATTTTATACACCACAATCATCAGAATTCTATAATTCACAGAAGGGATCTGCACATTGAAAACACCATGCTCTTCGTTTGGGGAAAACCCATTTCTAGATTTATGCGGTGATTTTATTCCCTTTGGGTGATTTCCCCCTCAGAAATGATGGCATGAGGCTGCCAATGGTACAATGTTTGATGCCAGAAGATCCATTTCTTTGTGATCTAAGTGGCTTAAACCTCCATCTGACCGAGGAGGTCAGCGCAGACGCGGCACAGAGACCCCGCAGTCAAGTCAGAGGGGCAACAGGCTTTCAACCCTCAGCGCGGGGAGCGGACGCGGTCGCAGGCGAGGGCTGAACGCACGCGTCCTGCCTGCTCTGTGTGCGTTTTGCTCCTTCTTTCAAAGACAAACCCTATTTTCCAGGTATAAGATGGGATTGTAGAAATTGTCAATATTCAACCATTTCTGACCTGCCAAAATGATGCACGTCAGTGATTTCTTTATTAGGAGCAGAGGGAAAGAAACTAGGTAGTGAAAGCTGAAAGACTTTTGATCGCCAGCTTCCATTCTGAAAATACGTACTTCTACAACCCAGCAACATATTTTCACACAGTTAAAAACTTGTTTCTGCCCACGACAAACCAGAAGTTAAGATCCATCTCAAGTCTACATACTCACTCGTAAGAACTACTCTCCTGCACCTCCCACTCCAGAGTAACTTACTGGCAGGCACAGGGCAAAGGTTCACAAACCAGATTCACCCTGACTGACTTCTGAGTAAAGACATCTTCAGACAATTTCTGAGGATAACTACTGTGCTTCGATAAATAACCAGCAATACAAGTAGAAAGAATACTCCTTCAGTTGGCAGCTTCCTGCACTTACGCCCAATAATCCCATCCAGAACCACCAATAAACTGCCATACTATGCCATATTAACAGTGAATAGCTTCAACAACCTGAAAATTAATTTCAGAAAAAATTCTATGTGGTTCAGAATCCTAGTCTCTTTTCCCCAGTAAACGTTCTTCACACCAGTAATCCCAGCACTTTAGGAGGCCAAGGTGGGAGGATCGCTTGTGCCCAAGAGTTTGAGACCAGCCTAGGCAACATAGCAAGACTTCATCTCTACAAAAAATTTTAAAAATTAGCCCAGTGTGGTGGCACGTGCCTGTAGTCCCGGCTACTCAGGAGGCTGAGGCAGGAGGGTCTCTTGAGCCCAGGAGTTTGAGGTTACAGTGAGCTATGATGACACCACTGTACTCTAGCCTGGGCAACAGAGTGAGACCCTGTTTTCCTTTTTTTTTTTTTTTAAAGGTCTTCCCAGGAACAATCTGTGCATGTGTGCACACATTTGTGCATGATTGGGGTTGTGTGTACATGTGTGTACACAGATAAACTAAAATGTTATAGGGATTCTAAAATGATTCTGCAGTCTTAAAAATCAAATTTTTTCTCCCTCTGGCCAACAATTCCTAGCACCTTAAGGAACGACCTAAAGTCAAAAAATAATATGAGCTGTTTTTAAACACAAACGAAGCTACTTAAAATAGGCCTAATTTATAATTCACTAGAAATGCCCAGACAAGAGTCAGACAGTAGAGGGGTAGGGGCAGGGGCAGGGGCAGGGGCAGGGGCCCGAGTGAATGTGCCCCACAGGGATGGTCCGGGCAGCCTGGGGAGACTTCCTGCGGTCACCGGCCACGCTGGGGGCGTCCTGTCTCCCGCTGAGCGCAGCCCCCCGCGCCTCCAGCTTCTCAACCTTTTCTGTCCGAATGGCGCCACCCCCTCTATCCAGGTCACAGTGCACTCTCCTGCTTGCTGCAGCCCTGGAGTCTGCACGACATTCCAGCAGCCGGCTGGGGAGCGACAGCGCGAGTCCAGGCCAGCATGCCCGGCAGCTCCGCCACACGCCGACCCTCCCACACCGCCTCCTGCTCACGTGAACAAATCATCGCAACGTGCTGGGCCTCTCTGGATACCAGTCCTGGTGTCTTCTCTGAATTCCTGGGTGTGGGCTCTCTCGTGTCCACATTGTCACTGCCGGGGCCCTGGAGCAGTGCTCCTTTTGCTCCGATGCAGTTTTGATGACGTTTCTACGACCTCTCCTCTTTCCCTGGCATCACAGGCCAAGCACCTTCCTTCAGACTCACACACACTTATCCCTTAAAACACGTGAGCTCTGCAGGGTTCTGTACTCCCACACGGCTCTCCTTAGAATCCTTTTTCTTCTGGAATTATTCATAGCCTGCTCTCAGAACCCAAGGGCGGGCCTCTGGTCGCAAGCCTTTCTGTGGCGTTGCAGGCCACGTGACCGGGCCTTTCGCCCTTGTGACGGGAGTCTACGCTGACCAGGCCTCGTGTTCTCTTGATGTTCTCTTTTTCGGTTGTCCCAAACTCCCAGACAACAGACCTGCTTTTACTTGCGACTCCACTGTTTCCCATCACGGGTGAGGCCTGTCTGGCCAGCCAGACCAGGGCAGAGCAGGTGTCTCTCGCTTGGTGGCCTGAAAGCCAGTCCCCAAGTGGCAGAGTCTCCTCTGAGCGACGCGTTCCCGTTTCTGGTCCCCCATCAGCAGGCCAGCCCCCTCTGGGAGCACACCCGAGTGGGGATCTCACTGCCACCAGGGAGCGGCCACACGCTACCCCTCTTGTTCTCACTGCTTCAACACGCTTTCCCTCAGTAGTAATACACAGAGGCTTCTTGCTCCCTTCATTTCCTGTCCTTCCAGATCATGCCAAGGGAGAATGAACAAGTTACTAGGGAGTCTTTAAGTTTTCATGTGGCTTTTGGGTCTGACAGAAAAATAAAAATATCTGTCTTTGAGGAATGGAAGTATTTTTGAAAGCTTGGTTACAGTTCAAAAACTTTTTAAAAGACCGTATTTCTCACTGTGAGCTGCCTGCATTACTTCAG